GACGCGGGTTAGAATCTCGGAAGCGAACTGAATTCCTTAAGGTTGCAGATACGCCTTGCTGACTGGTGAATGCCAACTAGAACGAGACCTAGATCCAAGGCTTCCCGCTGATTGCCTACAACCATCTTATACCATCAAATAATTAGCTTTATCTGGAAAGATAACATGCAGTCCTCATTTGAGACGACCAGTCAGTTGAAACACTCATTTTTCGCTTCATTTCCAATTCGTTTTTCATGGTGAATATGAATACCAGATCAGTGTAGCTGATGGTTGTACTAACAACTCATTATTTATTGGTGTCGTTCTAAAAGCATTACTTAAGTTGAAAAAAATTTCATTTTGAAGTGAGAGTTAATCTAGCGAATAGGTGTTAATATGTTACAGTGTTAAATCTCTCACAAATATTTTGTGCCAAGAGGTTGTACTGGTAGTGGTTTTCTTCGGCTTAACACGAAACTACTCAATATTCTGTTTGGTTTTAATATTCCTTTTGCTGACTGTCTTTAATAATAATAATAATAATAATTCTGAATATACCTTGAATGACTTATTGTACTTTTTTTAAAATCTACCATACTTATAATACAGTTTCCCAGACGACATACTACTAACTAATTTGAGTGGTTTTTAATCAAAAACAACAAATCAGGTGTGTTTATTAACTGAACAGAAATGATAAAGATCCTCGATAGCTACTACACTTGTTCAACAATGAGCTAATCATTGATACACTCCAATTTATGTATCTTAGAAGCTGAATAGACTGGAACTGATTGATTCTAGCTGAACACCTGAACCAGTTGGTAATAAAAAAAAATTTAGTTATATGTTAACGAAGTGCACAGATGCAATTCAATGAAGACTACTTTCAGGTGCATGGAAATTTAGATAACACTGAGTAATCAACTTAGCGCCGCAACGACCATCAAGAAATTTCCCCTTGATGTTATGAAACAGCTGTAGAATTTCCTCTGGAAGGGTACACATAGAATCTATTGTGTTTTGCGCAATTCTCGTTAAGATAACATTACTTTCTACGCTTTACTTTCTTTTGTTTACTTCATTAGTATCCTTCTTCTTTTTATCGGTAAACATCCAGTGTGTTGAATATGTGCTTGCCAAGCGAAGACAGAAGTGATTTAAGTGAATATTGTGTAACTTTTCAATGTGTTGAGACATCTAAAACACACAAAGTCTCTCATGCTATATCTCCATATTAGAGTATAATAGGTGTTTTTAAAAATCGCTGGTGTAAATAGGATAAGAAACGGATTATTAATTTATTCGATTGAATATTTTTTTTTATAAATGCCTACTTTATCAGTCAGGAAATACTTTCGATTGAAGACTAGATCGTGCATTCTTTACAACATAAAAGTTCTGAAAGATTTTTAAGTGATTTTAGCTGTTATAAAATTGCAGGGATCAAAAGCAATGACTTAATTATTTCTGATGAATAAATTCTTTTCATCTGGTGAAAATTGCGTGTCGTAATGTGTTATTTCACAATTGAAAATACTTTTAAGGCATACAATCTTATTAAATTTGATATCGCGAAGATGTTGAAGAGACTTTTCTTCATTACGACGAGATATTTTTTTTCGAGAAGGTATTGTATGTTAGTTTGTGTGGAGTTTAAAACAGGCAATTGTACAGCAAACGAAAGCAGTTAGAAAACGTCATTTAGCAATTGGTGAACATTGATAGTTCGGAGGAATAGTGGTAGAGTAGTTTATGAATACAAAATAGAAGACTTCCGTATAGGCACGCATACCACACAAATTGTTAACTGGAAAGAACACAACTTTGTGTTCACTGGTTCCCTAGTCGATATCGATTCGAGACAAAATTTCAGTAATTTAAGAACCATTCTTATTATATCCTTTAATTCCAAGAGGAACATAGGGTTTCAGCTGCGCACCTCCATTGCCTTCGGTTTCTGCCAACGTTTTCACCCCGCCACAAGTCTCCCCACATGCTTTCATCTCCTCCTCACATGACCTCCTCCAAGTCACCCTCACACCAACGACCAACTCGCCGCCCGCTTCCCTTTCGGGTTCCACTCGAACAATGGCTTGTCTAGTGATGTCACTCATTTGATGGTTTCCTCAGAGTATGGCCAAACAATCCATCTCCATTTCTTCCGGCCTATTTGTTGCACAGTCAGTTGCTGGTTAGTTCGCTCATTGCCAGAAATCTCTGTTGCTGATCTTTTCTGGCTGGTCATCTGATCTTGGCGAAGTATTGAGCGGAGACAAGTGTTAATGAAGGTCTGTAGTTTGTTTGAGATGCTCTTTATGAGGTGCTGGCCAAGTCTCTGATCCGTATAGTAGCGCTGATTGACTTCACATTGGAGCTGAAAATCCGGATCTTATTTTTGATTCTGAGTTCTGTTGACCTCCACACAGACTTGAGAGTGATGAAAGCTTGTCTTGCTTTTTCGATGATCCTCGCTTTGATATCCTCGTCATTTCCGTCCGCCTGTAGTAGAAACGATGCTTCCCATGTAGGTAGGTAGGTAAACGGGGTTGTTTCTTTCAGGTTCCTCCCATTTATGCTCGCTAATTGTTGTCTGTTGTTGTTGTTGTAGTGGCTGTTGGTGTTGGCCAGGAATCTTCATCACCGTTGTTTTCTCTATGTTCACCTGAAGTCCTATGTTCTTTGATGCTTTTCCTGTCAACTTGTTGCTCTTCAATTGCATATCTTCCAGTTTGTGGAAATCAGACATATATCATCGGCGAAGTCCAGATCCTCCAAGTTTTTTGTGTGAGTCCATTTTATGCCTGTTTCCTCATTAGCCGTTGTCTGTCGCATTATCCAATCAATTGCAATCAGGAAGATCATTGGTGATAGTAGACAGCCTTGCCTCACTCCCGTCCTCACTTCGAAGGCTTCCGTAAGTTTCCCGTTGTGGATTACTTGGCATGCAGCATTGTCGTATAACTGTTGGATGAGATGTATAATTGTCGATGGGACCCCGTAGTAGCGAAGTAGTTTCCAAATGACCTCTCGATCGACGCTGTCGAAGGCCTTTTCAAAGTCGATGAAGTTGAGATAGAGAGGTGACTGCCATTCCAAGCTTTGTTCAATGATGATCCGTAGAGTGGCGATTTGATCAATACATGATTTGTTTCTCCTGAATCCGGCCTGTTCCGGACGAAGTTTTTCATCTAGGGCTTGTTTGATTCTCTCCAGGATGATGCGACTTAGTATCTTGCTTGGAATGGACAGAAGCATAATTCCACGCCAGTTTTTACATTGACTTAAGTCTCCTTTCTTTGGAAGTTTGAATAAGTATCCGTTCTTCCAATCCTCGGGTACTTTGCCCTCTTTCCACACCTTCTCCAGCAGTGGTGTCATCAAGTCCGCTGTTGTCTCTGGGTCTATTTTCAAAGCCTCTGCTGGGATTCCATCTGGTCCCGGTGTTTTCCCAGCTTTAAGCATCTTGATTGCATTCAGGACTTCTGATTTCGTCGGGGGGTCAGTGTTCACTGGTAGTTCTGCTTCCGTTGTTGGTATTGCTGGACGTGTTGTAGGTGGCGGACGATTTAGAAGTCTTTTGAAGTGTTCAACCCAGTGCTTTCTCTGTTCCACCTCTTTGGTGATTGACTTTCCATTGTCGTCCTTTATTGGCTTAATCTGTGTCGAACGTTTGCCCGAAAGGTTCCTAGTTGTTTGGTAGAGTGTGGCGAGGTCTCCTTTGCCTGCAGCTTGTTCTGCTTCGTTTGCCATGGTTTCATAATATTTTCTTTTGTCTTCCCTGGCACTCTTCTTCACTCTTTTGTTCAGTGTATTGTAGCTTGCATTCAGCTCCTGTTTTTGTTGCTCGTCAGTGCACTGGATAATCTTTTGCTTCACTGTCCTTCTCTCTTCTATTAGTTTCCAAGTGTCCGTAGTGAGCCACTGTTTGTCCTGTCTCTTTTTTCTGCCTAGAATTTCTATGCAGGTTTGGCTCCACACCGTTTTCAAGTTGTTCCAGTGCTTTTCGACGCTGACCTTTTCGCTGGTGTTGATTTGTATCTCAGCTTTGTCCTTTATGCTTGCAATGAAGATGTCCTTTGTAGCCTGGTCCTTCAGCTTTTGAGTGTTGAACTTGGCTTGTGGTCTATCTGCAGCTCCTGATTCCCTGAAAGCTTTTAATTTGATTTGGATTGTCCCTTGTACGAGATAGTGGTCTGAGCCAACGTCTGCTCCTCTTCTTGCTTTTGTGTCCAGTAGGCTGCGCCTCCACTTCCTTGAGATTGAGATGAAGTCGATTTGGTTTTTGGTTTGCCCGTCTGGTGACACCCATGTAGCCTTGTGGATATCTTTGTATTTGTATACGCTGCCACCAATCACTAGTTCGTTGAAGGCGCAGAAGTCAGCGAGTAGTTCTCCATTTACATATATATATGTATATATATATAACAGTCGAATATTATGAATGTTTAATATATAGCGTAGTTTTAATTTAGCCTAGGAAATCCAGCTGAGTTTCATTCTAATAAAAAATGTTTTGGAATTAGATCAAATGTGTATGTGTATGTTTGTAGTTATGAGTAAATCATGTCTGTAAGACGTCACGTGTAATATCATCCATCAGTAAATTGAGCATATATTTGACTTTGGGTAAATTATATTTAATAATGATATTATCAATGATACATCGTTATTTTTATTTGTTTAATTAATTAACTAATTGTATTTTATGTGATCACTTTACAACAGGAGCTCTCTTGTGCCACAGACCTAATTTAATGCACCGCTTTATGACATTAAATATGTACTAAAACTTGCAGCCTGAAATTAACACTGTATTTGAAGCAGATTACTTTCAATAATAGAATCAGTCTTAAATTTCTTTTAGTGTGTATGTTTGTATGTTCTGTAAGACATTATGTAAATAAGTGGATAGATTACAGTATTATTACTTAACCTGTGTTGCTAACAATTTAAGAATAACGTTGAGAAACTATCAGGTATTTTTGTTTCAAACATTGTTTACTTTCATTTTGCAGGGATCATGATGAAGAAACAAGTGTTTTAGAAGCAGTTCGAAGTTTGAATGAAATTCGAGGCGTGAAGCAACTAGGCCGTTACTTTAAGCAAGTCAGTCAGTCTGCACGTAAAAATCAAACTGGTGATATGGACGACTTTTTGGGTTGTATAACAATAGATATAAAGGTGAGTGTGGACATTGGACTGTATATTATTTTCAAAAAGAAAAATTTGTTATTTAGTATGTATTATTATTATTGTTCCCTTCGGTTCCTGGTGGAACATAGGACTTCAGTTGAACGTCTCCACTTGCTTCTGTCTTCTGCTATACTTTTCACCTGCATCCATGTTAGTCCATACCGTTTCAACTCCTCTTCACACTATCTCCTCCATGTCACCCTTGCATTGACGTCCCACTCGCCGCTTCCCTTCGGCCGAGGTCCACTCGAGCAATGGCCTGACGCGCGTGCGATGTCACCCAGCGGCCTCCTCAGAGAGTGTCCAATCCATCCATCTCCACTTTCTCCTGCATATCTGTTGGTTGGCGTTTGTTCTTGTTTTGTTTCTTCCCATAGTTTCTTGTTGGTGATTCTTTCCGGTCCGACCATCTGATCTTCAGCATAGAGCGAAGACAGTTGTTGATAAATGTCTGCAACAGGCTGTTGGAAATATTCTTTGTGACCCCGCGCCAAGTTTCTGATCGGTATGGAAGAACTGACTTGATGCTTGTATTGAAAATCCGACTGAATTTTGTTGTTGATTCTGCCTGAGTGACGAAGATTTCCAGATTGACTGTTTCAGGTTGACGAATGAATGTGTTTCTCGCCTGCCTTCCCGATTCTCGCTCGATTTGACATCCTCGTCCGTTCCTCCTGTAGTTGAGACAACGCTCCCTAGATAAGTGAATGAAGTAACCTCTTGAAATCCCTCCCGTTGATGGTGATTGCGCTGGATGTTGCTGTTGTTGTTGTTGGTTGGTTATTTTCATAACCTCCGTCTTGTCTATGTTCACTTGGAGTCCTGTCTTTGCTGCTACGTCGACCACTTAGACGGTTTTTGCTTGTAAGTCTCCGATTTCGTGTGACATCAGGCATATATCATCCGCGGAATCCAGGTCTTCTTGGTTCTTCACGTCGGTCCAGGATATTCCTGTCTTCTCATTTCCCACTGTCTGACGCAAAATCCTCCACAGTTCACCACAATTAGGAATATCATTGGTGATAATAAGCATCTTTCTCTTATTTAGTAAGTAGTCAGCAAAAATTAAAAGATATGTTCGTTGAAGTGTTAATAGTACACAATATAGTATACTTTGGTTTTCTGCAATGACCCATATTAACTATAGATTAATTTGCTTAATTGCATGGAGGATTTCATCATGAGCTGACATCAATTAGAGAACCAGTGGAAAACCCGGGAGTACTGGACAGCTGTTTCGTCCTACTTTGGGACTCTTCATCAGTACTCACCCACCCAGGACCTTCTGGTTACAAGGCGAGCTCGCAGACCAATACTTGAAAATGAATGTAATTTAAACAGTTCCTTATAGATAAGACTTCTATGTCTAACAGTACTTTAGGAGAGCGAACCGGAGAATAAAAATCATAAGGGTTAAACACAGATTAAGCTTATTATTAGGCTATTGTTGTTCACACGAAAACGATTTATAATCATCCTCAGTCAACTTCCTTATCATTCATTTCACTTATCTAACATATATTCTGTTAAGGGATAAAGTTCGATATGTGAAACCAAACGCGATTAAATCTGCCAGATCAAGGCAGTTGAGAAAAATCATCTTTTTTGGCCAAGTACAGTGAACCAACAAAAGTCGGCGTCTGTATTAATAGTTCATAGAAATCACTACAGTTACAGTGTACGTATTTCAGTGCAATCATTAAGGAGAACATTACAGTATGGTGCATCAGTCTAGTGAAATCAACTCTAATTTCTCGGTAAAAAAGAATGCCTACTGGAAATCTGATTTGTCTAACTCAGTCTTCTGCAATACCATTTCGAAGCTCGATAACAAAACCGATTGTCAACTTATGGTTTCTGAAAAGTTAGAAATTTATCGCTTTAGCAGGGTTTATTTTCTAAAATTAAAACCGATTGTTTTATGAAATTCGTGTCATTGGTTTTACCTCTGTAATGAAGAAAAGCATAGGTGACAATAATTTTAATGAAAATCTTGCGTGTCTTTTGTAAACCTGTTACATATCTACTTCCTAATACTTAGGCAGTAACTGTTTCTTTTATGAGCTAAATTCTAAAGGTGCTGCTATCAGTAGTGTATTTCATGTCGTGGATCACAAAAATAGTTAAAGTCAAGTACAACAAAACTGCTGTCACCTTCTTGGACGGATTTAAAATATTAGATGGTTGGAGACAATCGGTAGGAAGCCTTGGGCCTAGGTTCCCTGCTAGTTGGCACTCACCAGTCAGCAAGGCGTATCTGCAACCTTGAAGGAACTCATGTCCCTTCTGAGATTCGAAACCGCATCACCCAGTGCTGCAGCCAGAGACGTTACCACTGAGCTGTTCTGGCTCGCGATTGACCTCCTGTAGGACTGTAGTGGGTATTTTGATTGGACACTAGTAATTAGTGTGACTTTTCTAGTTCTTTCTTTGTTGCAGACTGAATTTTATCAGTCAGGTTGGCAATGTGGCCACCATTCTGGTTAGCTGGACCTCATCGTGCACATCGATTTGATGATATTAGATGGTTGGAAGCAATCGGCAGGAAGCCTTGAACCTAGGTTTTGTGCTAGTTGGCACTCATCAGCAGGGATTTAAAATATATTGGTTGAGATTAGCTATATATATATATATATATGTAGCTGAATACATGCAGTTTTCAAAGCTAACAGTAATGTTTCTTTCGTTTATGACTGCTAGCGTTTTGAACATCATTCGATTATGTGAACAATAGTGCCTAGTCTTCTATTGTTTGACAACTGATTCATGAAATTAGATAATTTGGAATTCAGGAGTAGTCTCATCACTCAATAGAGTGATAAAGCATTTGTAGGTAATTAAATTACGTGTCAGAAATTCACTGTAGGTATATATATGTCCTGATTCCTTCATGCAGTTTGTTTATTTTGTCAGTTATTTATTATAGTCGTTGATTGTTTTTGTTATCGATGTTGTTTCACTGTTTTAATGATTAACAAATTGTTTCTATTGCCTACTGATTTGTTCTGCAAACCAGTTTTAACGAATCAGTCGATGATTTGCTGTTTAGTAATGTTTATGACGCAACTGCCTACTCAAGCATGAATCTACTATATATGTATAAACAATTATTAATTACATAACATTTTTGTAATGAGATTGAATTAACGCATAAAACGGCTGTCTTATTGTTTTATTCTAAACAATTTTAATAGCTGTTGTGTATGTAGGAACTAAATAATAGCCAACTGTGTATAAACGTGTATTTTCATTTCTAAGTAGCCTTGAAAGTTAACTATTCACGAATGCAAATTTCTCGAACCAAAAACAGGGGAAACAGTGAAAAAAATTGTATATGCTAAAGTTGAGAAAGAACATTAACTATTATCTTGTAGACTGATAATTTGGGCTATGATGTGATGAGTACTTTTCGGACTATAAACTGTTGGATATTCACAATATGTGATTTGCTTGATACCATGAATAGGATGCTGTAAACTACTGATAGACTGACAAGAGGAAGTCCAATAGAAGTATTTAGTAGCCAGTAATCAAATCTGAGACGACTTTTTATCTCCTCTGGGGGTCGTTTCCCACCAGTGATGTACCCATCTGAACTCAAATATGACGGTCAGGTGAGCTCAAACCACCCAAGTACTTGCCAGCTACTTGAGTTAACTGTTAATAAATGGAATTCGTCACTCGGAAATCACACATTTCTAAGGGAGTTCTGAGCTGGTGGTTTGAAATAACTCTGCTATATGAAGTAGGACAGAAACGGACACCCTACTGACTAGTTTTATCCTAAACGACCAAAACGGCGCCCTGGTGTTCACAGCACTTCGAGCCAGCTAACAGTCAGTTGACTTGATTTGATCACAATCACTTAAATCAATCAATTACTAGTAAATTGTATTTTGGACAAAGTAGGTACTTTTGTAGAGATTGTTTTCAAGCATTCATGTAGCCGAAAATCCTAATGTTGGTTGATGAAAACTCTACAATCCTGAAAAGTGGCTGGATACTGAGATGTTTACAACGAGAAGCTAGGCATGATATTGATTTTATATCAGTTTTGTTCCCAATGTCTGCTTCAGGATATTAGATATACCTAATTTTGTTGGGTCTGTCCAGTTGATGTTAACCACTGAGTAAAATCATAATGAAATTTTAGTGTGTTTAAATAAGATAAGGAAACTAATTTGGGAATGAGTGGAATATTTATTCAAAAATAAAGGGAAACTAAACAACAAATACAAGGGGCTGTAATTATGTATCTTACTCAACGTTTTCGTAGCATTATGAGCTTGAAGAAACAGAGGGGATTGTTATACAGGTGAGACTGATTCAGACTAGTTCTTCAAGTATAGTCATCAATCCAGTGCTTAAAATTTAACAATTCTCTGAAGTTTGAATGCAGGAACATATGAAATTATACAATTATTTGTCACTTAGTAAATTGTTTATTAGATATATTCCACAGTAAAACAGTACCATAATTTTTGATGCATTTGTGTTCTCTGAGCTGGAAGGCTTATTTGCGAAGCTTTCATTGACCTAATAGGCGACATCCTTCACGCACACTTCAATTTTAAGTGAGTTTTTAGATTTCTCTTTCAGTTAAAAAGTCATCTTCCCAGTTATCTAGAACGTGACTGCTTGTTTTCGTGTTTTCACACCCTACAGGCCACTTGTATTGGAGCTGAATGTTTCCTTGACTTGAACTTTTACCCTTTGTGTGTGAGATTTCCTTCTTGTCGGCTGATAAATTTTGTCCATCTCGATGTGTCTATTGATTGATGATTCACTGGAATATCAGGCTTCTAAAAATTCTATAGCATTCTTGGTACTTCTTCTGTCTAATATTTGAACGTTGTCCTAGTCGAATTGGTGTCGGCGGTCGTCTGTATGAAGCGATATGAGGGAGCTGACGTCATGTCTTTTGAAGGCTAGTTTATGTTCATGAATGCAAAGACGAAGGGGACGTCCGCTTTGGCCAATGTAGTGTTTTTCTCAGTTGTTACAATTTATTTTGTAGTGATGTTGGTTTTTATCTTCTTTCGTTTTTGAGTCTTTTGGTTGACATAGTGCTGAGTAAAGTGATTTTATTGGTTTGTGTGCGACATCGACTCCTAAATGTTTCAAGAGTCTTGAGGTGATTTCTAAGATGTCCTTCGTGTATGGTAGGGCGATTTTCTCTATGCTTTCCTTGGGGCCTTTGATTTAGTAGGTTGACTTGGGGGTAGATGCTTTCAGATGAAATTCCGTGGATATCAATTCTTTTGGAAGACGTTCATAAGATGTCTTTCTTCAATTTTTCTTAAGGTGGGAGTGCTGTTGATACAGTACTATATCCTTTTGAACGCAGTTTTTTCTTCATAACCATATCATAAAACTAAACATGAGAAAAACACCTTACACTTTGTTCAAGAAAGGCTCACTACATTTCTTGACCTGGTTGCAGTTATATTCACTGACAGAAAATCTTAAGTTTGCTATGGACTGAGAAACCACCTGTAACAATTCAAAATCAGAATACTGCTAATCATGCATAATTCCCTTCTTGCTGAATGTGAATTCTGTGTATTTTCCTAAGACTCTTGTAAGTGATAAGAGTGATATGATTGCCCTCAAATGTACGCATGAACGAAAAATGTTCACTCACATGGAAAAAATTTCCCTAGTGAGTTCATTTAGTAAATGTTAGAATAGGATAAAAATTGCAAAACTCATCTCAAAAATTTAAACAAATCTTTAACACACAATCTTTTGCAAAGCTGTTCTAATTCCCTAATCAATAAAAATAAACGTTTAACAGAAAATTCATTATGTTCAATAATTAGAAGTATTTATCCACTATAATATACACCTGGCCTTTTGAACCAACTTATAAAAACGTCTATTAATACTTCTGAATCACCTATTGTAGAGTGCTAAGCTCCTAACTTAGTTATGTTTTTACGAGTTGATCGCGGATTGATATCAGTTAGAGAACCATTGAAAACCAGGGAGTACTGGACAGCTGCTGTTTCATCCTAGTTTGGGAATCATCGACAGTACGTACCCACTAGGATTCGAACCCAAGACCTTCCGGTTACAAGGCAAGCTCGTATACCATTCAGCCACTGGGACCCGATTCAATGGCTCATGAATTCTAACTTCTACCAATTCGTGATTTAGCGTGACCCCAACATTATTCTCTAACTGATATCAATCTTTGATCAACTCGTAAAGACATAACTAACCCTTACAAACGAAACTAAAGAAGATTAATCTGATGCTCGCTAGTCACTTGCTACAGGTTGCAGTTTTCTGACTTTTAGTGAGAAGTCGTGACCAGTGAGGTCCAATTGGATGTCATGTGTGTGGATGAATGTCCCACCAACGACAATGGTTGGGGTCACGCTAAATCACGAATTGGTAGAAGTTAGAATTCATAAGCCATTGAATCGGGTCCCGGTGGCTAGCTGGCCTTGTAATCGGAAGGTCCTGGGTTCGAATCCTAGTGGGTACGTACTGTCGATGATTCCCAAACTAGGATGAAACAGCAGCTGTCCAGTACTTCCTGGTTTTCAATGGTTCTCTAACTGATATCAATCCGTGACCAACTCGTAAGAAGTATTTTTTGTCATTAACCAGTTCTGATTCGCTGATACCCTACTAGTGTCCAGTATTTTAAATATGTTTCAGGAAACGTAATACTTAATTTACCTAATTTTAACTATTCATTTACTCACTTTGCAGTATAACTACCTTAAGTTCGAATACAACAAAAGAAGTCTCTTCCATCTACCTCGCATGCTTTACCAAAAGTGGAAAGTTCTCTTTCATGTTTCAGATGAACACATTTCTATTTACCACGGCTTAACAGTGCATTTATATTCCATTGTAGGATATACCATCCACAGGTTTTGATCGTTGGTTCAAATTAGAGGGTCGATCGAATCGTTCAAGAGTTCAAGGTGAAATTCATTTAGCACTTAGTTTAAGTGCACAATCGGATGTGAGTGAATTTGAAAGTGATAAGACCGTTGGAATTCAAGAACACATTCAATTATGTTATTTATTCATGCTTCATCAGATTAAGCAGGAAAATGTAAGTACTTGTAAATTTTTTTCCAAATTTCTTAGTTTTAGAGATGCATTAAATGTATTTTTATTGATTTTTTTTCTGTTTTACTCGTATATAACCAGCAAGCTCAGTGATTATTACATTTCAAACAGTAATTTCATACAAGATGTAGTGTACACGTTACTCTGTTACAATACATCTCATACGAGAAAAGAATTTTGGCACTGTGGTGGGGTATAGTTCCACTGCAGAGTGACATTACTTGATAAAACACAGTGACACATTGTATTTGCTAATGGTGGTGTTTCGAGCACAATTTATTGCTCATGATCATATTAGAGCACTTAAATATTGTTCAAATATCATCTATACGTTTACATAATATCCTGTCCTTTGATTTTATTGGCGGTGATACTTTCCACATTTCTGGTATCGTTGCTGAGTCATTCTTATTTCGCATGTTGGGTGTAGATACTACGAACAAGGATTTGGTTATCCCACTCTTCAACTACCTACCTTTACTACGTTTTTGAATTGTAACTGTGCCCCATCTTATTGTGTGATTAAAAATTAACGTATGCATTACGACTGCTGAATTTCTCTCTAAGGTGAAAGTCCTTTTGGTCCCATCATTTTACCCTTAGCTATGCTTCGATAACTTAACAAACTCATTTTTTTTATCAAACAAAATTACTTAGCATGGAATTATAACAAACTGGTTACTTTTGCAAACGAAATGTGGATAAACAACAACAAAAATAACACATCGAAATCGTTTAACTGATTTAACGCGGGTCATTTGATGTGTATTTGTATGCTTCATTGCACGCTGCCATTCATTAGGCTATTTTCTTCGGAAATAATGAAAACGGATAAGTTGAAATATTTAAAATCTAGTGAGAATAACACGTTTTGAGGATACCTCTGATTGACTGAAGCAGAAATAAAAAGACCGACTCAGAATTATTTGTCCCATAGAAAAGAGTATTATGGTGGTTGTAAATCAATCATACCTTACAAGTTTTCATGTACGAAGTTAGGTGTTTGAATATACCGATTACATTTGTACTGGTTCACCAGAGACTAACAGAGGTAATCATAAATACTATGTTCCACCTCACTGTATTCACTGAGTAAAAATGTTCCCTTATTACAAACTTAATACTGCTTTATTCTCTTTAGGCTGAGCTTCATTTTATGTGGTGGTATAGAATATGTAATACTGTACTATGCCTTTAAAAGACTTTGTAGATAATACCACCGCGAAATGACTGGATTATCTTATCTGCCAAAAACTTTTCTCATATTGCTACCTTACATTATTGCTACCTCATCATCCAACAGAAAATACAAGGACATTTAACTGTCTACCTCAACTTCAGCAACTCTGAAAGGAATTTTTAGCGTCAGCAGTAAAGTAATTTGGAAGAGACTACAACACTACGAAGTGCCAAAAAGATTTATTAACTTCACTCGAAAGTTATGCAATGATGGAACCTCATTCCAAGTTATTCGTAAAGGAAAGCTCACCGAAGCATTTGAATTCAAAAAAAGAAATCAGGTCAGGCTTTTTCTTATCAACAAAAATTTACCTGAATTTCTTGGACAGAATCAGACGACAGACAATGAGAAATGAGAATACAGAAATACGCCCAACTGATACAAAGACGCAAGAAGGTCTGGATTTTGCAGATAATTTATGTGAGATGTTACAAAGACTCGGAGGCATGCAAGCAGAAGTTACATGTTGATGATGAGGTAGAGGAAACACTTCTTCAGGTGAACATAAAAATGATAGATGTGATGGAGATAGTCGACCGCCAATGACTGTTGTCTCCGCAACTCATCTAAGAAACATCGTTCTGACTACGGGCGGCACGGATGAGGTTTTAGAGGTGCAATCTGAAAATCGATCGAGGCGCTGATTACTGTAAAGTAAGTGCGGAGACATACAGCATGCAACACAAGAAACAATGTCAGAATTTTTAACTCTTATATCAAATTAAGTACTTCTACATAGTTCAATGGCCCCATACGTGCTTCACCAAAAGCATTTACAATGGTTTACTGCAGCCTTTCATCGGCACTGAGGACTGGACGATAGAAAGGTACACAACAGGAAACTCTGGCAAGTAATAGGTGAATCAAGAATCTATTGATCAACAGATATGCGGCCTACACTCTGAGAAGTGTGTAAAGTGAAATAACACAGTGTGGAGGCCTTCTAACGGATTTGGACGGTCTATAAAAGTTATTAGCTCAAAATACAATAAACAGATGTATTATTTCGGAAAAATTTTAATTTGCATCCGCGAAAATGTCCTGGAGGTTAAAATAATCGTTTAAAATTTTGTGGTGACGGTTAACGCAATCACATTTATTTTAATTTTGATAATACTTGGAGTAAAATTACTTCTTTTGATTATGTCAGTCGTCGACAGATTGTATGGAGAAATTTACGAGTGGACATTTTTATTCTGAATGGAGATATCTAAAGTTCGTTCCCTCTGTTTAGTAAAGCATTCCAGGCTGTTGTCACTCCTGTTACACGTACCTGGAATCGTCATTTTCTTAATTTTGGTTACAGGATTTCATCATGAGCTGACATTGATTAGAGAACCATTGGAAACCCGCCAGGAAGTACTGGACAGCTGTTTCGTCCTAGTTTGGGGATCTTCAGTGGTACGCACCCACCAGGATTCAAACCCAGGACCTTCTGGTTACAAGGCGAGCTCGTAGACCATTAAGCCACTGGGACCTGATCCAATGGCCCATGAATACTAACTTCTACCGATTCACGATATGGCGCAAACGCTAGCCAGTGTCTTCGGCGAGCATTTGTCCTCACACCCTACCTGCTGCACCCTACTGGTCATTTTTAATTTTAATTCTACTTAATAGGGCTTAAAATGCACACAGTGTTTAAAACTAACGTTTCGTATTGTATGTATCGGCAGATAACTTCGAATTTTATTGCCCTAATTCTTTGCACTCTGGCCTTCATTTAGTTGAGGTTGAAACTGTGAGTTAGATGAATGCGGTCGATGTAACAATGGTTGATGTTTAAAAGTGAAATGAAAATCTGGTTTGATTTTTATTTAGTGCAATTTCAGCTGACGACAGTATGTAAATATTTCATAGAAGTGACCTACGTGTTTACTTTAGGAATTGAAATAAGCGTACAGATTTGATATACAAGTAAGAATCATTAAAAGAAGCCTTGATATAACTCAGTATACTGTTTAGATAAATTGTAGAAGGCAATGTAAGAGAACCTGAAATGCCTACCATGCAACATTAGTAAAGAAAGTTGAATCATTTTTCAAATGAATGGAAATAATGTACATAAAAATTAAAACATCATGTCGTGAGTTGATTGAATCGGTTATCCATGAATGAGTTAATATAATTTCTGAAGGTTTATACACATCATACTCTAAAGTAATGAGATATTAAACGTATTCCTAAACACTACCCTAGTCCTTAAAGAAGTCCGGTAGGCAGAAGCATAATGTCACTGAGTTCAACCCTTCCTTTAAAAACAACATTATAAACGCGTGTGAAGTAAGCATTTCACCAGTGCACACAGGCTAAATTAAGTGTATACAATATCACTAGCATTTATGTATATATATTTATCACATATGTTATCCTTTCACTAAATGTCGGTTGAACTATTAGGTTAAATCTGTTGTTTAAGACACCAAACATTTAACTTTAACATATGCTAGTCATCTTTTCAATTATTTGACAACTATGCAGAAAAGCTTTGATTAAGTTGACGTATGTCAACTTCCTTATTGTATATCTTCAGTTCACCATCATTTTGTTAGATGTTTGAAGGCAATCCCCTGGAGAATTGACTTCTCCTAGGTTTCGTGCTAGTTGGCACTCACCAGTCAGCATGGCGTATCTGCAACCTTGAAGGAACTCATGTCCTTTCTGAGGAGATTCTAACCCGCGTCACCAGTGCTGCAATCAGAGACGTTACCGTTGATATATTCGATCAGAAGAATGACTTTCTGTAGAACTGTACTGGATACTCTCATTAGGCACTAGCTATTAACTAGTGTACTGTGTCAAGTCCTTTGTTTGCTGCAGACTAAATTATATCAGTCCGGTTGGTGATGTAACCACCATTCTAGGTAGCTCAACAGAAAGGACATGAATTCCTGCAAGGTTGCAGGTACGCCTGGCTGACTTGTGAGTGCCAACTAGCAAAGAATTTTAGGTCCAAAGCTTCCTGCAGATTGCCTCAAGTCACCTAATATAAACAATTTAAAGTGCATCGCGAAGGCGAGCCATTTAAAATGGTGGCCACATTGCAAACTTGACTGATTGAGTTCAGTCTACACTAAACAAATTATCAGAAACATCAGTTACTAAATAATGTTCAATCAGAGTTACAATGACTCTAACGAATATATCAAAAAGTGGTGGAAATTCATTGACCAATAAATTTTCAAAAGAATGGATACTGAACAAAGAGTGCTCTTTTTGATAAATTCATCATCAAGCGTTACAGTTATATATACATTAGAGTGAATGAATGAGTCAGTGTTATGAACGACATTAATGTTGTTTAAATAACACCAAATCAATAATATTGATAGATTACAGCTGAATAGCATCAACATAAAATGCCTAATAAATTGCTGAAATCATCGAAGCACCGCATGCTCCAAACACCAGAGGCTATTGCGATTCACCTCAAACAACCACCGCTCTGTGTTCAAAAGAAACAAGTCCAGCGCCTACTATTGCCCTGGCTAGCCTTCAGTAGAAACTATAAACTCATCATTTTGTAATATTATCCTTCCTAATTCTTCTGAAATTCAGCTTATTCTATGTTGATGCGATTTAGCCTTAATCTATCAATATTATTGATTTGATGTTATTTGAACAACATTAATGTCGTTTATAACACTAAGTCATTCAGTCACTATAATGTATATATAGAATTGTAGAGCCTGAAGATGAATTTATCGAAGAAAGTACTCTTTGTTCAGTACCATTCTTTCGAA